CCTTATAATCCTAATTGAGAGGCTGAGGCAGGAGGATCACTGCAAGTTGGAAGCCAGCCTGGGGCTACATAGTTCAAGCCCAGCCTGAACTACATTGGGAGAACCTGTCTAAAAAAGGGGGTGGGGGGCCGAAGGGGACTGCAAGAAAATTAAGACTTCAGCACAGCAAAGGAAACAACTTAACAGTTTTCAGAGACAACCTACAAATTAGAAGAAAGTGTTCACAAGTCAGACTTCTGTTAAAGAGTCAATATCCAAACTGTATAAAGAGCTCAAAAACTCAATAGTAAGAAAACAAAACCCCAGGAGCCAGACTTGCTGGTGCACACCTGTAATCCCAGCATTTGGGAGGCTGAGGCAGGAGGATTGCTGTGAGTTTGAGACCGGCCTGGGCTACATGGTGAGTTCCAGGTCAGTCTCAACTACATAGTGAGACCCTGTCTCAAAAAACTAAAAAACAAAACCCAGTCTAAAAATAGACAAGGTCCCAGAATAGACATGTCTCAGGAGACATACAAATGGCCAATGGATATATGGGGAAAAAAAAGCTTTAACATTTCTAATCATTAGGGAGATGCAAATTAAAATCACAATAAGCTGTCTCACACCAGAACAGCTTGTATCAAAAAGATGCAAGGTAACAGGTAATGGCAAAATGTGGAGGGAAAGGGAGTACTTGCAGACTTGGTGGGAACATAAATTAGTGTTGACATTATGGAAAACTCTTCCTCAATAAATTAAAAATGAAATTACCATATGATCCAGCAATCTGTTTCTGGGTACTTACCCAAAAGACTTTTAAGTCAGTTTTTCAAAGAGATGACTACTCACAGTAACCAAGTTATGGAATCAACCAGTGCTCATCAGCAGATAAATCGTAGAGAAGATATTGGTACATGCTTACAATGGAATGTTGTGCAGCCTTTGGAAAGGAGGAGATTCCGTCATTTTCAACAACACTGGTGGAACTGGAGAATATTATGTGAAATAGAACAAGTCATAGAAAGACCAATAGTGCCTATTAGGTTACATGTGGTATAAATCAAACTCCTAAAAACAGAGTAAAGTGGTACTTCTAAAGCTCAGGGGTACATGGGGGTCGTGGAGGGGGTTGATGATCGGTGGGTACCTGGTTCTCAGCTACACAGAAGGAATGCTTTTTCAGATCCATTGCACAGCATGGCTGTGAATGGCTAAGGAAGCAAATTTCAAAGTTCTCGCCACATACAAAAATGTCATTTGAGATGAGGAATGTGCTAAGTAACTTGATTTAAGTTTTCCTTGTATTTTTAAGTCACAGCATCACTTTGTAATCCAAAGTATATACAATAAGTTGTCATTTATAAAAGAGGAAGGGAGAAGGAAAGAGGGAGGGGGGAGAGGGCGGGAGAAGGGGAGGAGACGGGAGAGGGAGAGAGAGAAATGTGTTCACGTTAAGCAGAATCGGAAACTGCTTGTAGTAGGTTATCTTTGGATGTTACGATATGGGAGATGGCTTCTTTCCCCTTTCTGTAATTGCCTGCTCTCTTCACAATGAATATGTATTACTTTGATAATCAGAAAAAGCATTTATTTAAAGAAAAAGAGGGAATCCTGCCCAGCCCATAAGACTGTTACCCATTAGGACTTCCCAAATCCCCTCACTCAAATGAGTCTGTTTCTTTAACAACTTCACTACTGTACTTTATCTTGGGTTATCATATCTCTTCACTTGACACTTGCATGGTATTCTTCTTGTAGGCAGTTGCAAATGCACACCTGTCAACAGTGGCAGTGTTATCCCGGCTGAATTTCCAGACACCTACACGGGGTCTGGGCAGACTTCTGTTTCTCGGAGGGAAGGTGCTATAAGTCTTCATCGCTGCTTCCCACGGCCATAGCAGGGCATACAGCAGGTGCTCAAACTCAGTTAACTCAATGATTTAGAGAGAGTTTCTCTTCCCACTGAAAAGTTGATTTACCATTAATCGTGAGGACTGGCACCCATGGATACATCCAATGGGAGATTCCAGGGGTAGCAGTAAGGCCTTCTACCCTTGCCCACTGGATGGGCTTTTCTGCGTTAGAGTTCCTGACCCAGTGAGAATGGAAGGTGGCTCTGAGGCCATAAGGTGCCCCCTGCTCATCCTGCTGCTTCGCATTGGGCATCGGTGTGGAGTCTGCACTTCTCAGGAGCATCGTCTCCTAAGAGGCTGAGGGCTGAGCTGTTGTCTGTGGGGGACCCCTGCCAGTGAAGGTGGGAGCAGAAGTTGCAGGAGAGGATCCCTTTCCTCAGCCTTACCTCGCTCTTCTCCCAAGCAGCGGAGGGGCTGGGGTCCCAGTTTTCACTTCCCCACTCTTGGCTCACACAGAAAAAAAAGCAAAGGGCAGAGTGGGGACCAGGGAAGCTCAACCTCTAGACCCGGACAGAGTGGGCCCAGCCCACCAGCTCACAAGTGGGAAGACCTTCGACCGACCGACCTGGGGACACCGGAAGTTTGGCAAGCATGAGTCTCAGTGCCCAAACTAACTGATGTCTGTACTAGAACTTCGGCTTTGAGCTGCCATTCTACAGCAATCCAGATAGAAACTCCACTTCGGTTGTTAAGGAAGGGGAGGAGTCCCAGGGAGCTTACAAAGTTAAGGAGCGGGGAGCAGAGCCGGGGATACAGTCTTCACAGCTCTCTGGCCTCTCAGCACAACTCAGGTGCCCTTTGTTCATGAGCGCATCAGCAGGGGCTGGTCTGGACCTGAGGACCCATGAGTCTCAGACCCCTGGAGCTTTGGCTGGGGAGCAGGACAGTGGGCCCTTGGTAAGCACATTTCGTTCCTTATTCTTTGCAGCCCAGGTGCAGGGGAGTTACAGAAGGGGGTGTGAATGGGGTGCTGGGGAGGGGACATTCCATCCATTTGCTAGAGGTGCAAACTCTGAAGGACCTCAAAACACATGGCTGGAAAAGAAACAGACCCAAGGGTCGATGGAATAGATGAGAAGATGCAGAAACACCAGACGTAATCAGCTACCTCATCCTTGACAAAGGAACCAACCATCCTCACTGGAGGAAAGATGGCCTGTTTAATAAATGGTGTAGGAAAAACTGGATTTCACCCTGCCAGAGGTTAAAACTAGACCCTTATCTTTCACCATGCACTAAACTAAAATCCAAGTAGGTTAAAGATCTAAATATCAAACCAGAAACACTAAACTTACTGGACGAGGAAGGCCGAAGCCAGTGAACTAGTGGGGGGAGACAAGGACTGCAGGACCCAAAATCCTAGCTGTGTCCCTCTAGCACATAAGAATCAGCAGTGAGCATTCATTCCTTCAGCGGCTAAAAAAAAAGAAGAAACAAGCTTTTAAAAAATCACTTTTATTTTAAAAATGTATATAATCTTTGGGTAATTCAGAATTAGCTTAGGCATATTTGAGAATTTTCTGGGGAGACTAAGGTCTTGAATCCAAACCAAGAGCAACAGCTTATTTGACTGGTGGATTAGAGAGGACCACATGATACAGGAGGAATACTTGGCTACTGAAGACAGAATCCCACACAGACAGGCTTTCCTGCAGCATTCAGACACAGCCTTAACATTATCCGTCAAAAAAAATTAAACACCAGACAAACAATTATATCCACATCTTATTTGCATTCTCCAAGGTTTCCACATTTACAGAGCACAGAATTCAAAGTTCGGCAGACTTCAAAATCATAAATTAATTTAATCTCATTAATAATAACAATTAAATGGGCCAGGGATGTAGCTCAGCGGTGCAGCACCTGCTTGGCATGCAGAGGCCCTGAGATCGATTCCCAGTACAAAAAAAAAATTAAAAACTAGATTCTACCCAGTGTAGTCTCCATCTCTACAGAGGACAGCTATCTCCTGCTGGCAAAATGCCACCTTCCTGGGCCCTGTGTGGTCACAAGTGTGTCCAAGCAGAACATAAAACAAGCCAGGAATTTGGGGGCCAAAGAGGGATAAGGAGTCTCCCTTACAGCGGTCCAGTTCTCTGCTCATTCCCAAGCAGACCTGACCTGGGCTGCAGGCAGTGAGGAGGGACAGGCCCTGCATCGTGCACGAACTTGAGCGTTTCCCCGGATGTTCCAAGAGGAGCAGTTGTTGTCTCCCAATTAAACAGCCAATTCCCGGAGCACAGGCTGCTCACTCCCCTCTCCAGCCCATACCAAGAGGAGCAGTTGGCTCCCAATTAAACAGCCAATTCCCGGAGCACAGGCTGCTCACTCCCCTCTCCAGCCCATTCTCCATCACAGCAAGGGCCAGCCGAGGTGTGCACAGAGCAGCCCTTGGTGAAGGAAGGAAGGAGCCCAGCACAGACTGAGCACCTACTGATACAGCTGCTTTTCTGCAATCCTCACAATCACCCTAATTTTTCAGATGTGGAAACAGGTGAGAATTTTGCCAAGGTGCCATAGCCATGAGGGATAGGAGCATCAACTTGAAAAGCCAGAGCTTCTCCCTCCAGGGCTTTTTCTTCTGCCTACAGAGGCCAAGGGAGGGGCAGTAAATGAGTACCCAGTTCCAAGACAGTTGGTCTGGAGCTCAAACACTGCAGACGCAGGAGCACATGGGAGTCCAGAGTCCTAGATCTAAGAGCCCTGGCTCTACATCCTTTCTGTGAAACCTTGAGAAAAGTCATTTAGCTTCTCTGCAGTGGGACCAAATGGACAGGAAATGGCAAAAAACTCTGGGGAGCACACGTATACACCACGGTGGGCAGCTGCCACTTGGGGACTCTCGTGATGCTCCCTTGCCAGGACTGAGCAGGAGTTGTGACATTGTGACTCCATGCACACATCATGCCTTGCGAGAATCAGTTGTGATCTCCAAGGTTCTGACCTCTGGGCAGTCAGTCTGATGTCAGTCCTAAAGGAGCACAACCCCCAGCTCCCTAAAATACTTTTTCAAAGGCTCATGAGATCAAAGAAAGTGGGATCAGGATACTTTCAAAGTGAAATATGATTGCATGTAATTTGGGAGGGGATGATTAAAGGGGTAAAAATGACAGCAGTTAGGAAGTGGTGCAGGGTGTAGACATTAAAAAAGGAAGAGCTGGAATAACAATGCATAAACCCCACTGGGAGCAGAAGGCCAGGCTAGGCCAAGCCTACAGCAATCAGGGCTCAGGGGCTCTGGCTTGTCTGGTGCCTGCTGTGGTACTACACTTCCTGCTAACACGGGTAGGAGGATTCCTCAAAAAAGAGAGAAGTCCAGAGCCTCTATACTCTAGGAGACCTTAGAGAGTAAAACACTGGTAATAAAGGAAGGAAAACTAAAGTGATTCAGATGAAATGTATCTGGCGTGTTTCTTCTCTTCCCTAGCGGCCCACTGCAACACCCCAGTTCTATGAAGCTTTCTAGGACCAGGGGCGCAGTGTACAGTGTGTGTCTCCTGGGTGTGTGGATAGCAGGTTCATCCCTCCACAAGCCCCAGTGCTCTGAGCTCAAGGAATGTTAGCACACCAGTGCCTGTCAGTGCCTGAACTTGAGGACAGAGACTATTTTTTCGTGCCTTCTCTGCTTAGAGAGGGATGGTGGGCTAATAAACTCTTTGCTCATAAACACTCCAGGCTGAGGACAAGCCCAGCCAGCCAGAGTCATGATAGATAGGATCATGTCCTAGGGCAGGGCTAATGGGTGCAACTTTGTTCTGGAGGAACTGAGATGTTTCCAGTAACCCATACTACTTGCACCCCAGAGCCACATGCATCTGGCACAATCATGATTTGGGGGTTTCTTTAAAATATCAATATGTAGGTAGAGCTCTCATGACCTAGAATGCTGGTTTTTGAGTAAAACATCATTCTGTTGGGGAAAACAAAGCCCAGCTCTGGCAGCCCAGGTGGGAAAGGTAGATCTTGCGCCTTCCTGTGTGTAAAGAGAGAGGATGCTGTGTAGAAAGGATGTTAGGTGTGTGTATCTGTCTGTGTAACTGGAGGCTGGGCTCCCAAGCTCTGTGGCTATGAAGAAGGCTGGGTCTGGTTCCTTGGCCTTAGGCTCTGGAAGCTCCAGAGCCCCTGCTGATCAGAGCCCCTTGTGTGCCATCAGCTGGCTGAGACTGCTCCTGAAAATGTTCCTCCCAGGCTACCGTAGCCAAGGACCAGCCATAAAATGACTGATAGAGAAGAACGAGGATGTCTGACCAGGGGCCCGTGCTCAACAGCGAATGTTCTGGAAGCCAGACAGCGTGGCTTTCCCAAGCAGGTAGATGTCCTCATCCGTGCCCTCGTTGAGGTACTTCACCATATTCTTCTCAAAAAGGAGTGGGTGGTAGGCACCCATCGTGCAGGCACTATCGAAGAACTTCTGGTGGTAGTAGCACACGTCGGTCTTGCGCTTGGAGGGGAGGAACTCATACACGTCCACCTGCTCACATAGCGTCATCATGAGGATGATACCTGCAGAGGGAGCAAAGGTGAGTCCCACCTGCCAGCCTATCCCACCTGCCAGGGGCTGAGCCACTCGTGAGCCAAACTGTGGAGCGGTAGCCACTGGGGTTCCTATGTGTTCCTCTGAGTCCCACGATGGCTTTGGTGAGCCAGGATCTGCAGCAGACTGTTCCTCGGGATACAGTGCCACAGGCAGCCTTATGTACCTTTGTGTCCCAAGAACCACGGCCAGGGTGGGGAACATAAGTCCTCCCTGGACGTCAGCAGACTGAAGGACTCTGTCAACTGATGAACTTAGCCGTGGACTAAATTGTACATTAAGGAGACAGCACCATCGCATGTCCTTAACACTTCCCAGCACTTTATACCCGGGAGCAGCCCTGTAGATGGTACAACTTGGAAAAGTCTTAGTCTATACAGTGCTTACAGGAATAAGTACAGAGGAGGGAACATTTCTTCTCACAGCTGGCAAGAGAGAATATTGGAGAAGCAGCACCCTTTGGCCTGTATTGAATTCTGCTCTGCAAGGAAGGGAAGGCGGTGTGGCCCAGGCTGGTGCACTCTACAGAAGTTGTACAGAGCAGGGAGGTGCAAGCCCAATCGGGCCAGGTGGCTCATGCTACCACCCACAGTTGTCCGCAGCTGGCTGGGCACATTGTGCAAAAATGTCCCCTCTCTGGGCCTCAGGCTCTTTATCTGCCCCAAAGGGAAGATCTTTTCCACCCTCCTGTTGCAGAAGTTATTAGATAAGATCACAGTTCTAAGGCCTCTTCTGTCTACTATTCATATCAGAAATCATTCTGATGAAACAATTCTCACTGACAGCAAACCTGTAAACTGCTAGCTGCCGCTTTGTCTTAGAAGAGTTAGACAAGGGGAAGGCCCTGTCTGCCCTAAGAGAGCTCAGCAGGCTGTTCCTCAGGACATGAGGAAATGACCAAAATGGGCGCCGCAGACATTTCAAGGAGGAAGACCTCACAGGACAAGGCTCAAGTAAGACTGTTGGGAGCCCCAGAGTGGGGTGGAAGGGTGAGAGCCAGGAGGGAAGCCAGAGAGCTGGAGACAGCAGCCTGGGCAAAGGCAGGCAGTGGGGCAACAGGAAGGTGTGTGTCTCAGGATGCCAATCACTCCTGCTTGAAAGCTCGGGAAGAGTCCCAGCTGCACCCATCCAAACAGTGAGGCAAAAGATACAGAAGACGCGATCGTGTGAGTCCCAGCCTCTTTCTATAGGATGCCTCTGATAGTAAACTTCCTTACTCATTTACTATCATTTTCCAAAGGACTGTCCCGTGCCAAACTCACACAGGTAAGGAAAATGCAGTCGCTGCCCAGCAAGACTTTGCAGCCTGGCTGGGAAAGCAGACAGTGCGGAGTGGCCGGGACCATCCAGGAAAGTGGTCCACGGTGGGGCTCCGAGGAAGGAGCTCCCAACCTTTGCACAGCCAGCCCACAACCTCATGGAAATGACGCGGTGATCCGGTCACACAGAAAAAGGGGATGGCAGATGGACCACAGGGACGGAGAAGCATAGAGGAAGTCTAAGAAGAGACCCTTTAAGCAGAGTTCAGGAGCCTTTATCGCAGATCTATTCCAACCCCGGCCCCACAGACCACTCATCTCCATACCCAGGGGGCCGACTCCATGCACTCTTCTCTCAGGACTGTGACTCAGGTACTCACTAGGGCAGGCAAATAAAGACAGGAGCTTTTCCTCTGCTTCTGGTTCCAATATGCCTCCACAGCATTGTTACTGACCGTGTCTTTTTTTTTTTTTTTTTTTTTTTTTTTT